TGGGTGAATTTTATACAGAATAAATATGAGATTAGAAAGTATTACTTAGCTTTTGACTAATCTATGTTTAAGGGTAATGGTTAGAATCTTTGCTTTTATGTATTGGAGTTAAAGTATTTAAAATTTTGTTTTTTGGATGTATGTATAATTGTTTGATGTTCATTTAAGTTGTATGTTTTTTGTTGTTTTTAACCCTGTATTCAGCTCTGGGAAGTAGGGGGGAGGGTGATGGGGGGGGTGGGAGGGGGGGAGTATTTTATTGTAAAATTTTAAAAATTTTCAATAATAAAAAAAAGAACTATTGGGAGAGAAAGAAAAATGTAACCTTTGACTACATTTGCCTGGGAGATACTTTTGAACTGTTTTCAGGGTGGTTGAACATTTTGAACATTGTGGATTACAATCCTGACTGACTGACAATTCTTGGACTCCTGAGACAAAGGATCACTACAAAATATTGCTTTTAGGACTAGGCTCATATTCTGGAACCTATTGGATTATAAAGACTACACATAAAGACCAGAAAACTAGATGAAAATTTGTTCTACTCTTATTAAGATTGGTGATATGAGACAAGACTTGTATTTGGAGAACATAAAAGTTTTGACAGATTATCTGGAGGGGGGAAACAAAATGGATGTTTTACACCCAGCTAAAAGTGGTAAGAATATTTACCTTGAACCTCCATTTGAAGCCCCCACCCAGGCTAACCAACAATCTCCAGGAATGATGCCTCAAGAAAAAATAAACATCTTTCAGAAGGAAATATACTCTAGGCTACAACTAATTCACCAAACATTTGTTGCATACAAAGAGGACACAAAAAGAAACCATAATGAGACTAAAAACAATTTAGTTAATATAAATTCACCACCAGTCAATTGCAAAAGGCAGTTTTACTCAGCCTTCCATCCTGCAGCAATATCTGTAACACCATCAAACATCCAGATCTGCCTATCCCAGATCTTTGGTAAGTACTCGATAGGTAACAAAAATGTCAAACCCAGTCTGAACGGTTAATAATAATAATAACAACAACAGACAGTAAGTGCCACCTATGCAAAGAAGCTGAAGAAACAGTGGGCTACCTGGTAAGCTGCTGCAAAAAGATCGCACAGACTGACTACAAGCAGCTGCATGACAAAGTAGCAAAAATGGTGCATTGGAAGATCTGCAAGAAATATCATTTGCCTGTAAGCAAGAACTGATGGGATCATAAAATAGAGAAAGTCATAGAAAATGATAAAATTAAACTGCTCTAGGACTTTAGAATTCAAACAGACAAGCACCTGCAACATAACAACCTGTGTTAACAATTGTCGATAAGAAAGACAAAAAAATCTGGATAGTGGACATGGCAGTGCCTGGAGACAGCAGAATAGACAAGAAAGAACTGGAGAAAATAACAAAATACAAAGACCTACAAATAGAAATACCAAGACTGTGGCAAAGGCAAGCAAGGGTAGTACCAATAGTAATAGGTGCCTTGGGTGCAATCCCAAAACAACTAGAGCACCACTTGAACACCATTGGCATTGACAAATTCGCCATTAGTCAATTGCAAAAGGTGGCCTTACTAGGAACTGTTTCCACCCTGCGATAATATCTGTAATACCATCAAACATCCACATCTGCCTATCCCAGGTCCTTGGGAAGGACTCAATAGTTAGACAAAAATGCCAAATCCAGTCTGAACATCTGGCTGACTGTGCGATGATCAACAACAAGAACAATAATTGTAAATAAAATTTCATTCAAAACACATTTGTAGCAGATGTGTGAGGAATCCAGACTGCAAAGCTGGTTAGTAAATATAGCAGCAGGTAATTATCTTCAAGAGCCATGGTGGCACAGTGGTTAGAATGCAGTATTGCAGGCTAATTGTGCTGACTGCTAGCTGCCAACAGTTCAGCAGTTCGATTCTCACTGGCTCAAGGTTGACAGCTTTCCATCCTTCCGAGGTTGGTAAAATGATGAGCCAGATTGTTGGGGGCATTATGCTGACTCTGTAAACCACTTAAAGAGGGCTGTAAAGCTCTGTGAAGTGGTATATAAGTCTAAATGCTATTGCTAGGTGCTATTGCTATTCAGATTAGTGTTGGTCAATCTCCCTAAATTTCTAGTACCGCCTTCTCATATAATTATATACAGCTACAATTGGCATATATTATGCTATTCCTTTTTAGGTTAAGCAATATTATGCAATATTAAGCAGGAAAAGGGTAAGCAAAAAAGCAAGCAAAAAAATTGGAGGCAGGAGATAATAAAAAGAAAATGAAACCTAATTTATCCCAATACTATTCACTATGCCTCTCCATAGCTTTATATCCTTGAAAACCATTCTTGCTTCTATCACATCCATACATTAATTCATACTATATGTTCTTTAAATGTGTCGTTTCTGTCTTTTTCAGAAATTCATCAATTCCATCTAATCACTTTCTTGGTGTTCCTTTTCTTAAATCCATTTTTTCTTCCTTTTTTTCTTCATATATTTGTTCTTAATTTGGGTCCTCATTCATTCACTTTCCTAAGCCATCTCAACATATACTTTTTTTTTTTGCATGGGTCACTCATTTTTGTATTCACATTCATTCATCACCTATGCGTTCTTGACCCTCTCTCCTTGTTTTACCACACACACTTCTTAAGTAACCCATTGTCATATCATTGAGCTTGCCTTTATCTTTCTCCTGACATACCAAATTCTCACTTCCCTGTAAGAAAGTGGACGGAAACACACTTTTATATGCAGTCATTTTCAATTCTTTTGACAAACAGAATAAATGTGAGTTTTAAGCCTTGACTAATGTAGAGAGTGCAACAAATAATGAAGCACTTGGATATCATTCATTAATAGCACATGGCAAGATCACATGATGTGAAATTATAAGTGCTGTGCATATAAAGAGCTTTTCTCAAAGTATTTGGCCCTGATGGCTTAATGTCCCTGCATTCACTTGGAAGCTCCAGTAGTTTCAGTCAGCCTTGAATGACTATTAGGTATTTGGGATTACATTTAGACCTGTTGCTTCTTTCTATCCCATTTTTTTTATCATCAAAGTCCCATTATTAATTGTCATACATTTCTCAGGCTAATTAACAAAGATTCAGTATCTTCAGGGAAGTACTCCAGGCAAAATCCATTGATACTAATATGAATGGAATGTACCATTTCAGCAGGTCTCAAGTGGAGAAAATCTCATTGGTTGGTGTCCTTATTTCACATTTTTCTGCTACCTTTAATATAGGACTTCCATATCCTGGCTACAGAAATCCAGCTGATCACTAGATGACAACAAAGAGATGTCATTAGATTGTTACAGCTCAATTGTGATAGCAATATTTGTGTGTATCTACAGGTCTACCTACCAATATTTATTGTATATAAAGCAACCCGTATGTGGGTTTTGCACTGGCAGGCTGAAAACCACATGCCAATATAGCAGGGGTTCTCAACCTTGGCAAATTTAAGACTTGTGGACTTCAACTCCCAGAATTCCTCAGCAAAGCTGGCTGAGAAATTCTGGGAGTTGAAGTCCACAAGTCTTAAAGTTGCCAAGGTTGAGAACCCCGGAAATATAGTAAGCCATTCAGTATTTGATACATATAGAGGAGTGACTACAAGTTTATCCCATCACCTGGATGTCAGCTTTTATTAACTCAGTAGAATTTCCTTTTGAGTAGACACACAGAAGAATGTGCAATTCACTGTTTTCCTCTAGCAACACAACTGCTTTTACAACTTATCTTCTTGAAGGTCACTTGACTAAGATACAGATATTAGATTGCAAAGAAGATTTATAGTGTGTGATGATGGGGTTTCAAATTTTCAACCAACTAAAGTTTATATATAAACATAACAAAAGTTTAAAACAATCTATGTATCAAATGCCAATGGTAAAAAACAGACTTCATAATTCTAACCCCCAAAATCTATATGTATAAACATATTAGGGGGTATTTTGGGGGGGGTGTTCTTTACAAAAAATATTTTGTTTACATTTAGGATTTAATTTTTTGACTGTTTGAAATTTGAGCATTTTTAAAGTAAGGAACATAAGTTTCACCTGAAAAAAAGACACCATCACCATCTGTGATTCCATCACAGACACAACCAAGAGTAAACATGTTGTTTCTGGGATCAAATATGAGAAGTTGCTTCCAGCAAAACGCATACTGGTAGCTATGATGACTGAGCATTTAATTAAGATGGGGACAATTATCTATGTTTGATCCAAACTGTAAGTCTATCTTCCAACAAAATTCCAGAGTTTTAACTATGGAAAGTTAACTATGACAGTGCTGCTGGATGGAGATTTCTGGGAGGTAAAGTTGCCAAGATTGAATAAATCTAGAATAAAGCAAGGATTTAAATGCCTATTGGTTCCCAGAAACCTATTCCTGTGAGACCCAATCATTACAGAGCACAACAAATCAATCCCTTCCTCTTGTAGGATCAAGCTATTGTAATTTTCAATTTATCCACCTTTTTAAAAGATCACCCATGGATTTTCGCTGTAAATTCGCTCTAAATGTGTACAGATTTTATGTAAATTGAAAATAATAAAGAAATTAAGCAAACTTTTATTTAGGAGACTAATTTCCCCATATTTCTGGAGCTGGGAGGGAAGCATTACATTTTACCTTCACAATACTTTTGGAATGACTGAATAAACTGCAGCCTCGTTGCCCATATGCCACTCAGCTTCTGTCTGTCTTTTTGTTTACACTGGGAACACAATGGAAACCATAGTCCTCCCAATGCATCATTTATAAGTGTATTCTACCTCTGAATGTAGGGACAGAATCGGCTGTATGAATGAGCCCTGTGAATATTGCCAAGACACTGTGCTTTGTTCAGCATTATTCTTCACAATAGACACCACACTTTGGAAGTAATTTTTAAAAGGGAATCAAAATAGTGGTACTTTTAGCCTTTGTTTCTTTTTTTACCACACTGCATTCTCTCTCTCTCATTCAGCAGCTTCTATTATACTGGCAAATTAAATAAACCACTCCATTGCTAAAGAGGCTTGGGCAGGCTGGGGAAGTTATGGCACTGGAGAAGTTGCACTAAACATTTACTATGTGTGTGTGTGTGTGTGTGTGTGTGTTTTATTTTTGTTTTTTAAACGCAGGAAAAAGATGTTGATCAACTGGCATTAAAGCTTCTTTTTTTCTTTTTCTTTTTTCCTTTCTCTTTTGGGCAAAATTAAAAAGGAATACTTGAAAAAAATATGTGTCGATCTTCAAAATCGAGAGGTCTCGCATCTGGAGTCCTGAGAAGCTGCGCGGTGTGCAGGTAATGAGCTCGAGTTTTGCTTTTGATCTCTCCGGCTCCAGGCCTTCCTTTGCCACCTCCCCCGCTCTCGCCCTCCCTGAGCGATCAGCCTGCTAGAAATTCGGGGGTGGGGGGAGTTTCGTCTTTTAACGTGGGAATCTAAACACCGCGTTTATCTAGTGCAAAGCGGCGCTTCCTTTAAATTGCGGACGCTCCTGCTTAAAAGAAAATTCAGCCGATGTTCATCCAGTTCCTTTTCTACTTTCCCATTTTCCAGAAAAGGTCTTTGGCTAAACAGCTTGGCTCTTCCCGAGCCTTGTTATATACTAACATCAAGGTTGCCAGGGTGCAAAAAGGGGGAGATGCGGAAAGAGGGCGAGTTACTCCTCTTTTGCGGTTTTTCGTGCAGGCTGACCCTGGTGTCAAAATGGACCCGGCGGGAGAGAAACGTAGCTCGTCGGAATTTAACCATCCACCCCAACCCCATCAATCGTTTGGATATTGGGCTTGTATTCAAGCCGGGCGCGTTTGGACAAGGAGCAGCCGCAGTTATGGGCAGTTGGAGGAGGGAAGTGGCCTTTTTTTCAAGGTCGACCTTGAGTTTGTACAAATTGTAGGTTGTGGTGGGGCAAAATGGGACGGCTCGGCCGAGCGAAAGCAGAAGAGATCCGCCTTGCTAGTGCAGGCTGCGTGTGCTCGATTGGAGGAAGCGCGATTCGCGTGCGGGGAGCGAGAAGTGTTCCGGCGGGGGGGGGGCACACTTCTAAAGCCGCGCCAAAACGGAGAAGAGCCGCAAGCCCCCTTCCGCTTCGAAGTGAGGCGTGTGGAAAGAAGGCCGAACTGGGAGGCAGGCGGGCTGTTAAGGGAGAGAGAATTGCCTTGCTGGGGAGAGCAGTTTGGTTCCTCCGGGCGACTAAATCCAGCAACGGGGGGGGGGGACAAAATCAGCCTCTCCTAGAAGATTTTGAAGAAGCCTGGGGAGGAATGGAAGCCATCTCCTTGGAAATGCCAGGAACCAAAAAATGAGCGAAGGGGTGCAATCATGTAGGGTTCCAACAGCGAACCCCGTGGGCGCGCGAAGCAATGAGCCAAAGCAGTAGGAAGAAGCCGCCAGGCGGGAGTCCCCTTTTCTTACGCTGGGCGGCCGGGAGGGGGTGGGAGAACTGGGGAAACAGCCCTGCTGAAATATGCGGGTATTCGTACTCTGTCCTCCCCGCCCCACGCACGCGCGCACATTACGTGTGTAATTTGTCTCAAGGGAATTTCAACTCTTCGGGAGCTTTCGACTAATAACAACTCTCTCTCACACACACACACACACACACACACTCTCTGGGTTTCCCCGTTAAAATGTTTCTGAGATCCGTGGAGAATAGAGCGGGGCTGAGGCGAACGCGAAGGTCAGGATTGCCCACTGTGGCGTAACTTTTCAACTAAAGAAGGTTTTAATGCCTTCGCTTGCCCTGTCGAGTCTCATTCGGCCCGCATTGTGCTGGAAGGGTTGGGCCCGCTCGTGACAGGACGGGGGTTAAATGAGATTACAAGCTTTAGAGGTTGTCAGCAACCGCTGCTGCCTGGGGGATGTTAAATCGTGATTTAATGGTCAGCTTTCTCTAGATCGTACCAGAGGGAATCTGTTGTTTTCAGCAACTTAATTGGCCCCGGGTTTTCAGGCGATTTTTTTTTTTTTTCCTTCCCTCGGTTAGGGGTGGCGGAGCTGACTATCAGCTTTTGAGGGTGAATTATTTAAAGCGGTGCATACACACAATGGAAATTGGGAGGCTGCGCGGGCGAGGTGGGGGCGGTCTGGAAAGCAGTGCGGGGAAGACGGTGGGTGGCTAATCGTTTCCCCTTTGCTCGGTGAAAGGAAGCTTAACGGCAAACCTAGTAATGGGAAGACGAGCTGGAAGAACTGCTCCTGCGCTCCTGCAAGGCAGTCAGAATAATGACTCTTTCCCTATATGTAAAGTGCAACTTCCCCCCCCCCCTTTCTTGTTTCAGATTAGGGCATTCGGATTATTGTTCCTTTAAAATAACCATTAAAAAGTTTGGGCTCAAAGAGAAACTACTAATTAAACAATATGATTTTTTCTTCTTCTTTTAAATCCCCCTTCCCTAGCAATGGCTTTTCTAACATGAATGATGTCTATCTGCTATATATTGTGTAAGAAACTCTGGACATGTTCAGAGACTCCCTTCTCTATCTGTGATGATTTTATATGGTCTCTGGGCCATGGGAAGTATCAACTTTCTACTTAAAATAATACACAAAAAGATCTATCCCTCTATCCCTAGCATATTTTGTGCTGTGATAAGAAAATAACCTGATTATCAAGAGTTCAAAAAGGAGAGAGACTGGTTTTAAGGGAATAGATTTATCAGACTCTGGTGAAGACTATTGATAGATATCAGTCCTTTTTCAGTACTCATTTTACAGGTTTTAAAGGCAGCCATATTAATTCCCTTGTCTCACTCACAATCTTATACACATTAAAAGACTCTTGGAGATCCACTAAGTATCATTGGGCAATGTTCGGCATTCCCAATGACCTGTCTTCTCTTTTTTTCATTTCCCAATCTTTAATAGCTACTACAAAAGGATATAATTTTGAGAACAGAAACACCAGGGAAAGTGAATCTGTGATCCTTTCTTCTAAATTGTTTTAAATTTAAATTCTTCTACATGTAAATATATTTCTAAAACTCCTGCAGAGAGGACAGTTCAAAATTAGTCCCTAGAGGTTTTCACCTTATTTGGTTTTAATAGTAGATCTTTAACGTTGTTGCCAACTAACAGGGTTCTCCCAAATATGACACCACTGTCCCAGACAATTAAATTGGGACGGAGTTGTGGGTTCCTATCAAGTTGTTTTAAACATATCATATGTGTCACGCTTTTAATAGTGTTTTGAATGCAAGCATAGGATAGAATGCAAACATGGAATTGGCTAGCAAATGTAGTACTTTAATACATAATCTTTCTAGGTATGAATTAAAAGGGAAGGGATACATAAATAATAAATCTTCAACACTATATTAAGGTATATGTGCATTAATAAGTAGACTAAAACTTATGAAAAAGGCACAATTAAACATTCTTGCAAAATTTCAGATCAAAGAAATAGAAATAGTGGTTCTGTGTATGGGAATATGAGAAAGGGAGAAAGGGAAAGGGAAAAAGAAAAGATACCCATTCAAAAAACAAATAAAGAGAGAATATGCTTTGTAACAAGTCAGGCAATGTTAGTATCGCTTATGCATGAGGTAAGGGTCAGTCCAGAAAGTTCAGGATTAGTAAATTTAATATCCTGTCAAATTTCTCATGATAATGAATCCTGGCTGGTCTTCCTGGCTTAGCTGGCACAGCTACTTTGATGCTGCGGCTTAAGAGATAGAGCTGCTCATTTATGGGCAAGAAATTGTACAGTGTTGGCATGTGCTGAGCTGGTCAGTTAGGAAGCATGTCATTGCCAATTTAATTTGTTTGAAGTTTGAATATGAAGTGGTAACTGAGGAAGAAAATGCACATATATATATTATGCATTTTCCCAAGCATTATTTTGTTTTAAAGGTTTTTAGCTCTTCTTAAAATAATCAACATTAAAGTGTCCAGATTCCCTTCACTATATAAAATGTACATTATTTGGGAAAATCAGTCACTTGGAGCTGTATCTTAGTTATCTTAACAGAACATTGTAGATTTATACTTACAAAAATATGGTTTCTTTATATATTTTTTACCTTTTGTTTTTCTTTCCTTTAAAAAATAAAATAAATTAGCAGGATAGTTTTAAATTTGTAATTATTTGTACTTTTCTAACCGTTGAATATACTATTCATTTTTTTAACAGCTTGGCTACACTATTCAGTATTTTATGAACTTGATAATGAAGATTTTTAAATATGTTTTCCTTCTATAGTCTGTCTAAAAGTTAGATCTAAGTTTGAAAGGCTTAATTCCTCATAATGTAGGAATGATGGACCTATAATTAAATATCTATACTGACCAGCAAGGTATCTGAAGCATGGTTAAGAATAAAATACATTTTGCTGCAAGATATTCAATTTCTTTTATTTGATATTTCATCTATCATATATTTTTAGTTTAATACTTAGCATTTATTTAATGCTTTAAACTGTTCAGTGGCCTGATAATTTCACAATAATTCTTACAACAATTATGTTAGGACAATATTTTTATTCCCAAATTATAGAGAAGGGATATGCTAAGAGGATGTTTTGCATAAAATCACATACTGACTTCCAAGTATTAACTTTCATCATTGTTTTAAGAAAGGCAACTCATTTCATCAGGATTATACAGTATTTTGGAACCAGTCTTATTTAATTTGCTTGAATTTCTCAATAAATACTCTTTGAATGAAGTTGTTTGACATTGTATGTATTTGAGAGTAAGTCTCATTAAGTTTGCTGGGATTATTTTTAAGTAAACATAAAAGAGAGAGAGCAGAATGTTCTTTAAGTACTGTAGACCCACGGGATTTCCTCTTAGCCACAGTTTTGGGTCCCCAGTCCTTCACTGTGACATTCAGGTGATCATGTGGGTGTCCTTACAATTTACTGCTGAAGAACTTCATCTTCTCCCTCACCAGAGAAACAATGCCAAAAAAAGAGAGCAAAGCTAGTGCTTGCCTTTCTTCTTGTTTATCTTCCCATACCTGTACTTGTAGTGAAGAAAAAAACAAAGTGTTATTGTGCAGGACAGCAACAAAGCTACCTCAGGAATGATGGGGGAAGGTCTGTTAGCAAGGCATCTGAGCTGGAAGTGAATTGGTTCAGATGCAGAATACCTAGGGAATCTTTGGCATCTTGGGATGTTGAAGTATAATTCTTGTGTGGAAATGGCTTTATCTTAAATGAGCCCATTCAAGAATAATTCTGAGTAAATAGGGTTTGTTCCCCACAAAAATGTGCGTAGGGCTAAAATCATAATCATGATAAGGGTGCCTCGTGCAGTTGAAAAAGGTGAAATGAACATGATGTTTATAATAATCCATACT